TTTTTAATGGGAAATACTATTTTCTAATAATCTCTTTTTTATTCGACATACTTTGTCTTAATCAGGATATTAATAAGGAACTAGCAGTTTATGAAGCTTTTGGAATAATCCACCAATTTTTTAAAATTAAACACTATCTAAAGATTTGCATCGAAGTGTTTTTTTTTGATAGTGATTTTAATCACTGTCAGATATCATTATACTTGATCCAACTATGCCACGTCACCACTGTGCCGCGACCCCCCTGTGCTGGGTTTTTTTTACTTAAAACTGCTAAAACTTTTTTAAAAATGTCCAAATTAATATAATTTTTATTTAGTAATGAGATTATTTTGTATATTTTTTTTAAAATCTCATCCTTTACTTGGACACAGTGGGGGATTCAGAATGACAACTTTTTCACAAAAAATAAACTTTTTCAATATAATTTTTGAAAGTATTGCGGATATACTAACACTCCTATATATATCTTAAATTAAAGCTTATGTAATATAATTTATTATGGAAAAAAAAAATTCGAACTTTATTTTTTCTTGGTGAAAATGGTTACCGTATGCTATTTTTGTGTTAAAATTTTCGATTTCATATTTTATTTTAAAATACAAAGTTTTCGAGTAAGAAAAAAAATTTCAACTGATTTGATTTTTATTTCATTTATATTTAATAACTTAAATGAATATCAAGGACCCTTCACTGTAGTCTTTCCTCGTTTAATGAAATTTATTACTTATTTTAAAGTTTTTTTACTATGTGATTTTTTTTATGGTTCTTATTTATCTTCTCAGCTCTTACTTGACCAACTTTTTTTAATAAATCATTCATTTTTAATGTTTTTTAAATATTTATTGCCGAATTAGGTTTATTATGATAATAGGTTTCAACTAGAAAATTAAATAATTTTACCTTGTAATATATTACTTTTTAAATTTTATTTGTGTGTGTTACTAACAGTCTATAATATTCCAAAATTTTTGGCAATATGTTGCTATATAAATCATAAATCTAAAGAGAAATGATTTTTAGTTTAACCTGAATTTAACAAATAATATTTACAATTATAATAAAATTTTATAATATACTCAATTAAGTAGATTTTTTTAGTTAAAGTAAATCATTAAAATTAATTCAGTTTTGAATATTTCAATTGTAGAATATATTTAAACATCAAAAATTACTTATAAATGATTACTATGATTTCTATTTCAGTTATCTATTACGATAAAAATGCAAAAAAATATTCAGCTTTTCTGATAAATTTACAAAAAATAGTAATTATACAATTTCCTGACTGCATATTAAACTGTAAACTTGAAGTTGATTTAAAAGTTATGGTAACATATTAAACTTTATTTTATTATAAATTTCAAAAAATCAACTTTAAATATAGGTTAAAAATGATATTTTGTACTGTTTATTTTTAAAATATTAAAAATCAAAATCTGTAATAATTTAAAAACAATTATTTTGTGTTTTTAATTATTTTTTATCGAAATAAATCATTTCAAAAGAAATATTAATAATTTCTATGTAATTCTTGGTGTTTAAATTGATGATACAATTAAAAAATTATGAACTATTTTTCTTATAGTTATATCCTATAGTTTTAAATATATCAAAATTATTTGTGATAGAAAAAATATAATTACTTATTAGAAATTAGCACGAAAAATTGAATAATAAATATATATTTTTGACTCTAATGAAAATTTTTTGCATATCATTTATTCATAATTAACAATAAATTATTATCTATAAAGTTCTATGTTAAGCCCTTCAATTTTTATAGACGTTTCCCATAAAATTAATAAATACTTTATAATTTTTTATAAATTCTCCTAAAAAATTACAATACTAAATTATTAAATATAAATTTTATAATACGTTAAATTGCTTTAATAGATATTTATTTATAAATTATACTTATAAATAAACTACTAATTAGGAATAATGACAGAAATAGGAGTTAATTTTGCTTTTGAAATAATCTACCGATTTCTTAAAATTAAATTTTATGTATATACTTACAACGAAGCGTTTCTTTGGATAGCGATTTTAATTACTGTCAGATATTATCTATACTTGTTCCAACTATGCCGCACCACACTGTGCTGCGACCCCACGGTGCTGGGTGGTTTTTTTTATATTGTTTTAACTAATAATATTTCCGATTAATTTCTATAATCGATATCGATATTTTTAAAACTGATTTTGAAATTTTCAAAATGGAATTATTATAATATGTCTATCTATATTCAAAATATAATCAAGACTGTGGCGGCCCAGCATTTCTTAGCGTTAAGCCATAGCTGATGCGGACACAGTTATCCTCGTTAATTTACATTAAATGTTATTTCAATATACTTCTTACTATCCTTTACGCCAATAGTGATAGAAACATTAGTGTGGGCGTTATTCATAAATTGTAAGGTACTGCTCAGAGATATGAGTTAAAAAATGGTTATTTTGAAAACCCTAAAAGGAAAAAATTCCTTAGATGATTTTTGCTTTATTCATATACACTTTCTTTTTTCAACTAAATCCTTCCATCGTAATTTTAATTATTTCATTTGATAAATTCAGAATTAATTTTAAACAGGTACGGACTGAGGCGTATTCTATCGCATATCTGTTCATTATTCAATGGTAAATAATAAAAAATGTATTTATTCTGTTTATTTAAACAATAATATATATATAATACCGTATTATGCACCAATTTCAGTGTTTTTTTTAATTTTGAAGTTTTTTGTATATTACATTACTTTATATTCCTATTTAATATAATATAATTTTAACCGAATTAAATAANAATGTATTTATTCTGTTTATTTAAACAATAATGGCATATATATATATAATATGGTATTATGCACCAATTTCAGTTTTTTTCTTAATTTTGAAGTTTTTTTGTATATTACATTACTTTATATTCCTATTTAATATAATATAATTTTAACTGAATTAAATAATCAAAAAAAAATTGTTGAGGCACATTTACAAACAATTTTTATTTTTTAAACATGTTTTATAAAATAAATTTTCTTTTTTTAGTTGTCGCGTGTGAAAATATTTTTGCCGCGACGATTTTTATTAATCCAGTAAACCTTTTATTTATACCTTTATATTTTTTAATAATGATTAATTTTAATATTTTATTAAATTTTACCTACCTATTTATATATTAATTCATAATTCTTTTTAAAGCTTATATGTACAAAGATAACATGTTATTATAACATGATGTTAAAAGAACTGGAAATATATTTCTATTTTGATTAAAAATTACATTTTATTATTATAAACTTATAGCTTTTATTGTATTTTTATCTGTTAATGGCAACTTTTTATGATAGTCTTAATATATATATNTCAATAATCAATAATAATAATTAATGTTTTATTCAGAAAAACCTAACCTATAGAGTGACATAAAATAATTTTGTATAAATAAACAATAATATTATAACAAATTATAATAAATAAACAAAAATTAATAAACAAAATAATTCAACACCTAAATAACTTTAATAACATAAAATATTATTAAACTAATAATTTTCTATTTTGGTACAAAAATGTCAGCATATTTACATTTTTTGCCAACAAACAAGTCCTTTTTGAGGTTACTATATTTCCAGCAGTAGAAAAGCATCTCTCAGAGCTTACTGACGTGGCAGGAATAGCGAGATATTCCTTGGCTAATGCTGCAAGATT